CTGGAAACTTTGGGCAAACTTCGGGTGTGCCCACCGCCCCGCACCGCGGCGGGGCAGCCCGCTCGCTGGCTCCCTCCTCTGCTTGATTTTGCTGACTTTTCCTGCAGGGCTGGTTTGGGTCCTTTTTTCCTTATGCGGCCTTCCGCCCCCCGCCCCCAAAATTGTTCACAGAGCACCTGGCGTGAGAGTTTTGCCTGTTTGAGCCCCAGCTTCCTTAGGTTAATCTGAAAAACAAACGGAGTGTGTTAATAGACTAAATCTGCTCGTGTGGATTTCTTGGTGTACGCCGGCAAACGGATTAAAAATCGAAACAAAACCCTGGGATAATTAGTTGTAGTGTTTTATTATGTGCTACCTCAAAGGCTGCCTGTTGTCTACAGCGGTTATTTTCAGCTTTTTTCGGGCTCATTTGCTGTGTGTGGATATATAAAGTGTGAAAACAAGTGGTCTTAGAGGTTGTAAAATTGAGGCAATGGCAGTAAAAATATTATTTTTCTTTTAATATGAAATTTCCATTAATCTTATGGCCTTTCTTAATCCCTCTCCTTACTGAGATTATTTTAAGCAATTAGCCAGCTTCTGCTTCTCCTCCTTTCCCCTCCCACTTTCCCCTTTTTAGAAGATGTGCTTTCCACCCCCATTGGTTTTTTCCCTTATGTCTGTACAGCACGTCATACCACTAGGTTACTGCTCTAATACCTGTATCATACAAGCTAGTGCTTTGATAATACTTTGATGCTAGTATTTTGATAATACCAATTCTGAGTACTGCAACTTTGATCTTTCAAAACAGTCTTTTTGGTAGAAATATCTACTATTCCAGTATAAATTTTGTGCACTATTGCATTGAAAAGTTATTTATAAAAGTAAGTTTACTTAGATATGTGGACTAACTGTACTTATTTAGCTGTAGAGGGAAATTGAGCATTCACTTTTTCTGTGTGCTTGTTTTTTTAATTTGTCTGAAACTAAGCTGTAGAAGAAACTAATTGTCCTTAACACCTGGGCACTTTCAATCCTAGAGGAAACTGTTAACAAACAGGAATGTGGAGAAGAAAAGTCTGCTTAATCACCCTATCTGGAAAAACTTGCTAATGAAATACAAATACTAAATTTTTATGATGCTGATGTTCTCTGACGCTGTCTTATGGCAAAAATGTCTTGATGAGTAGGTGACAAATGTCTAATACATCTGTTTTCTTTAATTCATAAGAAAAATGTAATTCTCTGCATACATCTAAATACACTTAACAAAATAGTTCATTTGAAGAACCAGCTTGTGTTGATAAGATTAATTTTATTTCCTAAAACACTCTGATATTGCTGATTTGATATATCATTAGATTCCTGGACAGACTTTTCAATATTAGTCATCTCTGTCAGTGATTTAATAGGAATTTAATATGTTTCTGTTACCATTTTTTTTACATGTTCTAAAATTGGAGTAGTTAATTCATGATTTGGGTAGAAATTTTGGGTAGTATCACAGTGCTGTACTTTTTGTGTCCCAAACTAAAGCCCTGAAATACTTACAGTACAAACTAAGACTGTAATAAGGCTAAGTTAAGTAAACTTTGCAATGTAGTAGCATATCCAGACAACTGCATAGTCACTTCTTAAATTATCAGTCTGTTTTATTGGTCTGTCAGTAATGATGCTCACTGGAGAAGATGATAGTGAAAAGCTCCCATGGTAATAACATGAACTTCTTGTGTATGTTCATGGTTTGTCTTGTGATAAATCTTACTTTCGTCCACACCAGTATTCTGAAGTAGCAAATCGTTTCTCAATATCTTAAAATTTTTTATAATAATCATTATCTCAAGATGCCTACAAAATAGTTTGATATAGACACTAAAACTGTGGTGTTTATAGAAGCCATTAAAGTTAAATTCTACAAGGTCAGGTAACTGCAGAAATGGTGAGCCTTTTTTTTCATTTTGTCATTTTATGTATTCACAAATCGTATTTGCCATGCTAGCATCTATAGGGCTATTTAGTCATTTAAAAAAAAAATTAAATGTTAATTGGCAATGAGGGCTGTTGTTACAGACCATATTATTTTAATTGTGGTGGATATGCAATTTACGTTTTGTAGAAACCTTGTGGCATGCTTTTTTTTTTTTTTTCCCAAACAAAAAATGTCCATAAGCTTTATAACCATGAATCTGAGAACCGGTTGTTGTCAGAGGCGCCAGAGTATTGTCATTAATGGAAAAGTTTGCACTAAAGTGGAAAATTGAGAAAATATTTTTCACTGTTTGCGTACAATTGTAGCCTTGAGGAAGTATACTAAGCTAAACTTGTTTTATTTGGTTGAATTCTTTGGCTTATTAGTGTTAGTTTGTAGTATTGATTTCTCTTATTGAATATCTCCTGGCTACTTATCTATAGCAGTGCAACTGTATATTTTACTCCACCGTGTTAAGTATACGAGGTCAGTTAACACGGGCAATTTGATGCTATATTGATGAGCGCTAGAACGTCCAACTTGCAGGCGTCTGGCTTGCGATGGGAATCCATAGCTCTGAGGTGTCAGCCTGTGGTGGGAGCATTAGATACTTCTGGCTAGAACATGGAATAGCTCTCATGGTGTGTATGAAGTTACACAAATTTATCATTAGGAAATTATAGACTGGGGATGTATCGCCACAAGAAAAGCAGGATTTAGGCAATCTAGCCCAGGCCCCATGGAAGTGTCAATATCAGCCAGAAATGTTCAGCCTGCAGTTTTGTTTTGAGTTGGATGCTTTTTTGCTAGCTGTAGCTAGCTCTTCTGAGTATTTTCTTGTTATCAAGGCCTAAGACTCAGAAGGTGTGTACACACTTGTTATGAAGTAAGTCTGAATTAGTGTGAGGTAAATTAATCTCCTGTTGGGGTGTTTACTGAGGGAAAAGAGCATGTACGGAGGTAGTTGGAATGGAGTAACAGATGCGCTGCAAGTTGCGTCCTGACTTATCTTGAGATAATTTATTCTTATCTCCCCATACCCTAAGATACTATTGGCTTTATAACAGCATGTGCTGAACCTTGCAGTGAATTCTTATTTCTATTATTAGCATTGTAATATGAAACTTAGTCACGTGTCCTGTATAGGTTTTGTATCCCATTTATTTGTTTCTTCTATGTCCTTGCACAGACTAGATTTCATGGTAGGAAATCGGATAATATGCAAACCATTCTCCACTAACTTGCTTTATAAATGTGCTGGGATTTTTTTGGTTTTAATTTTGCATTCTTCCTGTTGGGGAAATGTATTCAAAATCTTGATAAGCCTTCTTTATAAAGAAAATATTGATACCTCTTTATGTAATTGTAAAAAAAAATCTAACATCGTTTTAAAGGTTTAGTGATGCTTAGGTAAGAGACTCAAGATACCATCTTTGACTTCAATTATGTGTGTCTGTGTGTGTATATATATATATATATAAATTTATATTCTTTTACTTAGAATTAATTTCAATCCTGCAATAGTAAGTTACTAAAGATAGGGAACAGATTTGTGGTATCTTTTAGGGAATGCTGATATATTAAAACTATTTAATGTTTAGACTGGCTTTTGTGAGGTCGTGAAAACGATGACATTCATTACTTTTTGTTTAATGGGTAGCATGTTTTCACAGTTCTGTAGCGTTAGCATGTACTTAATGCTGTGTTTCTAATGATTTTCCTTCCTTATTTTGTGAAGTTACTCAGAAGCTAAATAGCTAAATGTCTCTTTGATCTGATTTTGAAAATATAATATTTTAGTTTTCTGGCTTCTCAACTGTATCCACAGAAAACAAAGGAAGTTAGAAAATGATAAGCTCAGGAGGACCAGGAGAGAATCCTTGTGGTTTCAGTTGCTTGAGCTGGGTTGAAGACACTGTAATGCTGAATCTGGTCATGCATATCTGCTAGTTTTTATGTTGT